AGGACTACGTGGGGCAGAAGAAACGAGAGGGATAACAGCTATGCACCCCCCCCCCCCCCCCCCCCCTACCTGCGGGTCAACAAAAACTAATGTACTTAAAACGAAAAATGAAACGAACCCGAACACCTACAGTACCAGAACAGCGTGCGAAACTTCGTACCCGTGGCGGGACCCGCCTACGGCGGCGACGGCTGCACTCGAGAAGCCCCCCAGGAGGAGGGGGGCACCGCTGACAGCGCGAACAGCGCCAAAGACGAGGAGCAGGGAGCGGAGCAAGGAGACTCGGACGAAGAAGAGCCCGACGACGCTCCCCCGCTCAAGCGCGGCATTATGTCCTCGCAGGGGACGTCGGTGAGCGGCGGATCGAGGTACTCCAGCAACGGGTCTTACTCGCGACCGGGGGGGGAGGAGGGGGCGGGAGGCGCGGCGTGGGACCCCAACATGCAGCTGAGCCTCGATGACTTCGACCAGGACTCGGTCAGCTACCTTGCAGAGGTGGGGGGTGCTTCTGTTGCGAAACCGTAGGGCGACACGGGAATGGAGCCGTGCGACGAGGGGGGGGGCAGGGTATGGGGTGCGGCCTGCTTGCCTCTTGAAGCCAAGCACTGGCGGGTGGTTGCACATGTGTTTCTTAGGAGCACGCCTGCTTGTTTCGCTCTCTCCCTCTCGTTTGTGTAATTCTTTACAGCAAGAAGGGTCAGGTACCGAGTCCCAGGACCGACCGGGTCGCATCGCTATCTTCTTGTGCTCCCTTTGCCTCTCCGTATACTGATCTGCCTCCAACATTCTCAACCAATAACCGAGGGAAAATTTTACCACTTGGTCCGAAACAGGGCGCGATGTGCCAGTGCTTCCTGGCCCGCAAGATTCCCGCCAGCATGAACGTCCCCGGGGGTGCGGGCCACGTGCCCTCGACGGACGGCAGTAGCAGTAGCTGCAGCAGGCCCAACCCTGCCTTCGAGAGCGCCAGGGAGCACGGCGTGATCATCAAGACCCCCAGCGAGGGCCCCAACCAGCAGATGTCCGAGAATGACCTGGTTATCGAGTCCCTCGTGCTGCGGGAGCTCCACCACCCCAACATCGTCGGCATCCTGGGAGGCGGGACCACCCACACGGGGGCGAGCTTCATCGTGCTCGAGTACCTGTCGATGGGCACTCTGCGAGGCCGCCTGGACAAGTGCGGCGGTGGTCTCGGAGTAGGGCCGGCCGTCAAGTACGGCCTGCAGCTGGCGTCGGCACTGTCGTACATGCATGACGGCGGCCTTCCGGGCATCATCCTGATGCACCGGGACCTGAAGCCCGACAACATCGGCTTCGCCGCGGACGGCCAGGCCAAGCTCATGGACTTCGGGCTCGCGAAGATCATCCACCGCACGCAGCGGTGTGGGTCCGTCAAGTACGCCATGACCGGGGAGACAGGTGAGCTCATCCATCGTCAAGGATTTGTTTTTTCGGTACAGCATTTTCTTTCCTTTTAGAAAGGTGTACCCCGTGTTGGGGGTAGTTGGGGTGTGACCGTGGAAGGCGTGCGCGTCAGTTGGACCAGTTTCGGGTATTAGAAGGCACTGAGCGGAGGGACAGACTGTTTTTTTTATGTGAAGGCAACAACGACAACAACCATGCAACATGATGCAGAGCAAAATGCACAACTCTATTGTGACCGAGGTCGATAGTGGTACTCCCGTAGTAGAGCGAGGGTTTGGAGGTGGGGGGGGGGCGGGGGGGGTACTCATAGTCGTGCATGCCGTAGTCGTTAGACCATTGACCTCGCATCCCTACAAAGCCGGGACGGAGCACGCCGGGTTCTCACCGGACCAGGCTCTCACATCACCAAGCGCGAAGCGCCGTGAGGTTTTCGGCGAGTCGCATGAAGGGTGCGCTGCATCGTGCTAAGGGTGTTCGGCATCTTGTGCTTACTTCCTTGCGTACGGATGACAGCTGCGTATGACTTGATTTATTTTCTGGTGCTTCCACTTCCATAGACGGTTATAAACACTGTGTAACTGCCTCGAGGATGCTTGACCATTTTAACACAACGTGGTTCAATCATCCCCCTTGCGCGGAGTGAGAGTTCTCCACCCCGCACAACATGATCTACTCGACCACCATTCATGGTTATGTACCGCCCAAAAAAAAAAAAGGTAACAAAAAAACGGTAACCTGGTTGCCGAGTTCACGAAGTGACTTGGCTTGTTTTACAACATCGTTGCCAAGCGACGAAAACCCGACCCCGATGGCAAACACCGAGGGAGGGGCTTGTTTACAACGTCGTTGCCAAGCGACGAAAACCCAACCCCGATGGCAAACACCGGGGGTGAGCTGACAGCTGTAGCCCTTGTCTTTCGGGCGGGTTGTGCAGAGCAGTGCTGCAGAAGCCTAGGGCTTGTCTTGCCAAAAAGTGGCCTCCACAAGACCCTTACATCCATCAGGCGGTGGTTCTGAGTCCCGCCTTGTAGCAAAGATTTCCGGAATAGATTCACCAGGTTTAGCCTGCCGTTTGCCAGATGTTACAAAACACGTGGATTTTTTACGGCTCCACCGAGTGCTTAAAAGTCACCTCGTCGGAGATCTTTCGTTGGAGATCTACCTTGGGGGCGATGTCCTGATTCGAGCCAGACAGCGCTGACGTGTCCCACACAGCTGATGACAGGTTGTTCGTCCAATAGCCGTACGTGCATATCCTTTCTCGTTCCCATTCCAGAGGTGAGCCTAACGTGTGCTCAAAGCCACGCATACATGAACAACGGCATCGATACTGTAGCGCAGAAGCCGGAGACCCCGCGCGTCACCCCCTCACGGAAACCCCTGTAACAAGTGCCACGTTTGTTTGCCGTTGTCCTGACTTTTTTCGTTTTGATTATTGAAGGTTCTCCGCGCTACATGCCGCCAGAGGTGGCCACGAATCAACCGTGAGTACAATGGCTGTGACGTACGAGTACCTGAAACTTAAGCCGTCTGTCTTTCTGCGTGTACGGCGTTATGGGTTCTAAAAACGTGAAAATATTTGGTGTGTTATTCATGTATGTCGTTAACAATATCGCCTTTCTGGTCTTGATTCTGTTTCGCGATATGCCTCTGTCGGTGGACACGATGGTACAGTAATGGGCGCTTTTGGCTCTGACCTGACCCCGCTTGAACACGTTTACCTTTCATCTTGGTTTTGTCGTTCGTCACGAAGTTGTGGTTTTGATGCTGTGAATGCGGTGCCTAGTGCCTAGGCTACAGGATCACTGACTGACGCCCTCTCCGCGTGGCGTACGAGCAGCATGTCGTTTCTTGTTCCTGCTGTATGCAAACCTTCACAGACAGGAGGCCAAACTCATAGCCTTGAGGCTATTGGACGTCCCTTTTTCTTTTTTCGTTCTCACGAGAAAAGAGCTTTTGCACTTCTCTTGCCCCGTACTTCCAGGGAGAAAACTTTACTGGAGCATTGGCGCCCGCTTGCCTCCGGTGATGGTGCCGTCCTTATCTTGCTTGTCTGCAGTCAATTGTGTTATGAGCTTCGTTGGCGTTTACACGTACTTGAGGCCTACTGTAGTCGAAATCGCTCTTGCGCGTGCGTGTCCCCATGTGTTTCATGTACCGGACGTGCCCAAAGCTGGTGTGAATGCCGTCTTCGAAAGAAGTTGCGCGGACACGCACGCGTTGCGAGAGCGGCGCCTCGCCTCGCAGAGCTGTGATGTTTTCGCCCCCGCTTCTCTCGTCACCACTCTTTTTTTGCTCTGCCTTGTTGGGGCAGGTACAACGAGAAAGCGGACGTGTGGTCCTTCATCGTCATCGTCTGGTGAGATGGAAGGGGTAGGACAGTCTTAGTCCATGCCATCCCAAGTAAAACAGACGTCCGTTTCTCAAAGGTCCTGGGGACGGATTACAGGAGAATGCCGGTTCTTTGCGCTCGCGAGATTTTTCGGGCGTGAGCCTCTGCGGGTTGTGAGAACTGCGGCTAAATAGCGTTGGCACCACGGCGAAAACCGCTGCTCGAAAACCAAGACAGGAGGGAAGCACAAGCTACCCCCGCTCGTTCTGGTTAGTGTTGGAAGGCTCGTGTTGCTCCTTCCGCTCCGTTTCGCAATGTTTTGTACGGGTAGATGTTGATCAATCGCGTAGGAGAAGGGGCCGTTGCCGCAACGGGCACGGCGTGCGAGTGTATGTACGTATGTGGCGTTTACTTGCCCCACTCAAAACACCGCTCCTGCTGATCGTCGTTGTGTCCCTCGGAGCGTTGTGCTGTCTCCCTCCCGCGTGCTGCTGCTGTAGCAACAAACGATCGAAGGGACGAGTTGCGACTATAAGGTTGTCGTCCATCATCCACTTGGCGACCCTCGTCCGAATTTCGCCTTGCATTGCGCTCTCGGTCCGACTTGAAAACACTTGGAAGACACGCGCCGGAGAAACGACAGTTGGACCTCAATGGGATGAGCCCAGACGCACGACTACCGTACAGTAGTGCTGCTATTTACTATTTATGGCGACGCTCAAAATAGACTCAAATATAGACACCACCATCACCAACGGCAGCAACAACCGTAGTACTTGTACCAACGCCTATCCTTTATATCAACGGTTTCGCCGTCTTCATTGTGCTTTGTACTGTGCAGGGAGATGGCGTCCGGCCGCCTACCGTTCGCCGGCATGAACATGGAGGTGTACCTCGATAAAGTGTGCAATGTAAGTGAGCAATGTTCAAATGTGCAACGGCGGTTGTCGTTTACGGCAGACGTTTCACCCCGCAAGACCTACCTATGCCTTGGAGGCGAAGGGATGGCGGAGGCCACAACCCGTTGCTTAGCGTTGGCATAGCAGTCTTTTCCTGGACCCCCTCCCAAAGGACATCACAGCAGGTGTATAGGCAGTAGGCAGGCACCACGATTGGCGGAGAACAACACACACACACACCGTTCGTGCCGTTCCTCGTGTTTTTGTCACTGCATTCCATTCCCACTATTACCGGCTCGATCTGTCCTGCGATTCTTTTTCTTTGGGCGGGTCCAATTTGGGCGGGTTGAATTAGTGCTGGGCATGCACTTTTTTTAGCGGATGTAGACTACTGCTGTAGTACGCTTTGTTCTCGAGTTTACCACAAGTGCTATTGGTAATAGTAACTCGTCCCTCAACCCCAACCCTACGGTGTGCAGGCAGCAAGCAGAATAGTTGCGAAGTGTAACATAAGACGAAGAATGAGTATATTTGATTTTTCTTCATGGCTCTTAGCTCCTACAGTAGATGGTGGTGGTTGGCGCTCACCGACACGGGGCAAGGAGCTTTTCGCCTCGCATGGCCCCGCGTTTGGCACGGTACGTTCCACGACGGGACGGGATAGCGTGCTCGTAGACCCGGCTCCGAAGTCGAACGTTCTTCTGCGTTCGTTTCTGTTCTTCGTCGTTTTCGTCGTTGGTGTTGGCAAACGCAGTCGAATCGCGGTTGTTCTTGCGGCGATTCATCGTTTCTACCGTGCGTGTTGTTCGTAGAAAATTCTGAAACGGTCGATGTGTGGACACCCTCTTTCATAAAGGGTACAATGTCCCCAACGTCTGTCGAGGACGATTCGCTCTTTTCACAGAGAAACATTACAATATAACTTTTGCCGGGTTTTTGGTGCGACCGTCGCCGCTGTTGCTGTTCGCGCAGGGCGCAGAGCGGCCTCTGGTGCAGAACCCTTGGCCCGCGGACTTCAAGAGTCTGTTGCGGTCGTCGTGGCAGAAAGACCCCGACAAACGCCCCTCCTTCCGGGAGATACACGCGGTGAGTACCGAAAAGAGTGCGTTGGAGCGATCGTGCACACCCTCGACCGACGTTCAATCAATGCTCCGTTGCATCGCAATCATAAGCGACTGCTAATGCCGAATGAAAACGGGCGTTGTGTCGGATTTTCCTCGGACGTACGCACGGTATCGGTCGACCCTCGCTTCCTCTTACTATATTAATACGTCGTCGTCGAGTATGTGGGATTTTTTGCGCGCAACCTAGGGGTTGCGCGATCGCTCGCACTTTCGCGGTACTGTAGGCAAGTAGCGCAAAACTACCTGCCGCTGCAGTGCAGACGTGCTTCATTGTGTGCCGCGCAAGGCCGCCGTGGTTGCACGCTTGCCGTACGGTGACTCGGACGGTCGGTCAGGTTCTGCAGGAGGCGACGCCGTAGTGTCGTGTGGTTCTGGGTGGTTGCTTTGATTGTCGTTTCGGGTTATTGTAGTCGGGGTGTATTTCTTTTCGTGCGAATGGGATGTGCACAACGGTCTCTTTTGCTCTGCATCCAAACGTGTTTGACCGGCTCCACTGCACGACATTATTCCCATGCCGGATGGGAAATCATGTCGGACGCCCTTGATGAACGAATACCGGTTATTCACGCAGTGTACGCTTGTCAGCCAACCTGTCGGAGATGTCGCTTTGCGGATGTCACACAAATTATAGTAGGCCAGGTAACTGGCGTGACCTCAACAGCTGGTGGCAGCCGACCCTCGTTTAGTTTCCAGCCGCCGCCTGCTGAAGCCACAGGTTGTGCGTTTTCGGGCATGAACCGCGACACAATCCCATTCGAGGAGAACCGATCTCGAAAGCTTCACACACAAACAGCACCTCTCCCTCTGCACTCAAAAGCGCGGATTTTCACCTCTCCGCTTGAGATTACAAACGCTCCCCGTCCGCCCGTCCGTCCGTCCGTCCGCCCGTTACTTTCCACGGTGCCCCTGGTTTCACAGGTGCTGTCAGGCATGTGCAGCGAGATGAACAAGAAGAAGAAGGGGGGCTTCTTCGGCAAGAAGTAACGCTCCGACAATGCCGAAGGCGCGATGAAGACAGGAGAAAACGAGGCCGATGACGAAGTCGGACATCAGCTGTCCGGGACCCTGGCTGTTCCGTCCCGTACGCGTTGCTGATCCCTAGAGTAGAGGTGCTTTCGTACGGCGTGCAAGCGGGGTGGTTCGTTAACCGTTGCCGCAGGCACCTTCGTCGGGAGGCACGGAGTTTTAGTCGGTGTCGCCCACGCGCTGTGGGACTCTCCCTCGCCCGATTGAGCGGCGTGTGCCAGCAGAGTCGTGCTGGTACGAGCTGTGCAGAGTGGAGGCTGTCAAGGGGAGACGTCTGTCAGCCGGCCGTCGCTAGACTCGCTTGTTCCCCACCGCGAGGATGGAGAGCAAGTATCTAGGATCTGTTTTCATGTTTGCCCTGACGGGACCCCCTCGCCGCCAGCAGCAACATCGGCCTACAGTAACACCTCGACCCTTGGCTCATGGTTGACGTTTCATTTCGACGTTACGCGTGGTATTTCAGCGAGCTTTCCCATTTTTGTCACTATTATACATCGGTCATTGCACGACCGCATATTACCATTGCTCTGTTTGTTTGTTGTCCTCTGTATGCAGCTCCGGGGCACGGGCGTCTCCTCTTCCCGGTCCTCTGTTTTTCTTTTTTTTTTACCAGTGTTAAAGTTGTAGACCAAGCTAGAATGGTGGGAATTCTACAAGGAGAATGATACTCAGAGCAGAATATTCATGGCTATATATGGTATTCGATATGGTCTTTCTCTCCTGGTTAGAAAAGGCGGGGCGAAGAAA